GTTGAGTTCGACCAACCAAGCCTCCGTCTGTATTTGCCCACTGAATTTTACACGTGGCGACGAAGGTGGGATATGCCTGAGGTGACGGTTGTCGGACACTAGACCGAGCTGCAGTAGAAGCATATCTAAGCGGATTCAACCATGATGGCAACGGATCTCCCGGCATTCACGCCATTTGATATAGCCTCGGAAACTTGGGAGGATTACCTTGAGAGGTTTGAGTGTTTCCTGCAGGCGAATGACCTATCCAAGGTGTCAAGCGCTCGGAAGAGGGGATATTTCCTCAATGCGTGTGGCCGCGAGATTTTTGGGACAGCCAGAGCCCTGGCTGCCCCTCAGCCTGTGTACGCGGTGCCCTGGGAGACCTTGGTGGAGAGACTTAAACATCATTATTCTCCTGCTCCATCGAAGATTGCGCGACAGCACGCATTCCACCAGAGATCACAACGGGAGGGAGAGTCTATTAATGATTACATGACTGCCTTGAGAACAGCGGCTCGGCATTGTGAGTTTTGTGAGCTTGATGACATGCTCCTAGACCAATTAGTGTGTGGAGTGAGGAACCTGAAGCTACAAGAAAAACTGCTGGCCCGTTCCGTTCTGACCCTCCCTATTGCCTTGGATGAGGCGCGGGCTGCCGAAATGTCTGCTAAGCCTGCAGCAGAGATCCAGCGCTACCAGTCTGGGGGTGGAGGCCAGACCAACGGTCATCCATCTGTCCACTATGAGGAAGCGGACCATCATGGCGTTTTCGAGGGAGACGATGATGTGAGCTGTCTCAAGTCTAATCAGAAGAAGAAGTGGGTGCCCACTGCTAAGAGACCTCAGGGCAGCTGCCTGGGCTGCAGCGGGTTGCATAACCGCACCGATTGCAGATTCAAGTCTGCCGTCTGTAGGCATTATGGGAAGCGAGGGCACCTATCCAGGGTCTGCCGTGCGACTTTCCCAAGTCCGGAAGACACGGAGGAGCCGGGGTTTAAGCGGCAGAAGATTAGACGGCCTGGCCGCAGAGAGCGAGAGAGAGAGAGAGAGAGAGTTTCGCGATCTCTCAGGATGCCGAGGTGTTGGCAGTTTCCATAAGCCACGCTTCTTCCCCATTCTCTGACAGTAAGATTTATCTCACCATCCTCCTGGAGGGAGCCCCGTGTAGAATGGAAGTTGACATGGGCTCCTCCAAATCTTTGATTGCATGGCCTGCACTCAAAGCCCTGCTTCCCTCTGTTTCCCGGCGGCGGTTGCAGCCTTGCCACATCACGTTGAAGGACTACCAGGGGAAAATTATACCAACCCTAGGATGTGGTTCTTTCCACATAGCCTATGGCTGATTTTCTGGCCACCTGCCCCTGGTCATTGTACGAGACCCCTCTTTACTTGGCCTTGATTGGTTCACTGCCCTCCCCCTCGGTCTCTCTGGTATCCACACCACTGGTTCTGATGTCGCTGCTGACATTATGCGGGAATTTGCTGATGTATTTGATGGCCACCTCGGTAAATACAACGGCCTCCCTATTTCATTCAATTTAGACCCTCAGGTGGCTCCCATTCGACTGAAACTGTGGAGGGTGCCCCTTGTTCTGCGGCCCAGGGTAGATAGGGAGCTGGATAAGCTTATCGCCCAGGGGGTCCTTCAACCAGTAGAGCATTCCAAATGAGAGACCCCAATAGTAATTCCCCTCAAGCAGGATGGCTCAATTAGAATTTGTGCTGACTACAAGGCGACCCTAAACAGGGTGCCTCAAGCCAACCATTATCTGGTGCCCGTTGTCAAACAATTGCTGCACTCCCTGGGCCAGGGAAAGGTCTTCGCAAAACTGGACCTAGCCCAAGCTTATCAACAACTCCCAGTTGATAGCGAGATGGCCCTGGCCCAGATGATTATAACACACAGGGGTGAGTTTAAATGCACCCAGCTGCAGTTTGGCATTAGCGTGGCCCCGGGGATCTTTCAAAGCCTTATGGAGCGGCTGCTCCATGGGTTGCAGGGGGTGGTGCTCTATTTTGATGACATCCTGATCGCGGCTGCGGATCAGGGAGAACTTGTCAATAAGCTTAGGTCTGTCCTTACACGATTTAGGAAGGCGGGGCTAAAACTAAGAAAAGAAAAGTGTTGCATCGGGGTGCCTCGGGTCGAGTTCTTGGGGTTCCTCATTGATGCTTCTGGCATCCGACCCGCACTAGCTAAGGTGGAGGCAATTAAACACGCCCCTACCCCCACCTCCAAATCCCAACTCCAGGCCTTCCTTGGCCTTCTCAATTTTTATTCTATTTTCTTGCCCCACAAGGCTTCCCTGGCAGAGCCTTTCCATCAGCTCCTTGACTCTAAATCCCCATGGCAGTGGGACCGCTGACTCTTTCAGGGCCGTTAAGGATGTCCTCTCCTCCGATGCTGTCCTGGTACAGTATGACGACTCTTTGCCTCTCTCTTTAACTTGTGATGCCTCCCCCTACGGGGTGGGGGCTGTCCTGAGCCACATTTTGCCAACCGGTGCTGAGGCTCCAGTTGCCTACTATTCCAGGACTTTGTCGGCTGCGGAGAGGAACTACAGTCAGATTGATCGTGAGGCGTTGGCTGCCGTAGCAGGAATCAAACGATTCCACGACTACCTGTATGGCAGGTTTTTCTACCTGATCACCAATCACAAGCCCCTCCTGGGCTTGCTGACCGGTGACAGACAGACCCCCCAAATCTTATCCCCATGCATGTCGCGCTGGGTGGAATTTTTGGCGGCTTACTCATACCAGTTGCTACATAGGCCAGGTAAGGCTATTGGGCACATGGACGCCCTCAGCCGCTGTCCGCTTCCCTTGCCTGTCCATGACCCAGCCCCCATGGCAGCCATCCTTCTAGTGGACGAATTGCCTTCCTTGGTGATGGCAGCGGATGTTCGCGCCTGCTCGGCGGTGGACCCGATCCTGTCCAAAGTATTGGACTGGGTGCGCAAGGGATGGCCAACCTCACAGGGCTCTACGGAGTTTCTTCCCTTTTTCTGCAGGCACCAGGAGTTGTTGATATTACAGGGCTGCCTTCTTTGGGGTAACCGGGTGGTCGTGCCCCCAGATCTTCGGCGTCAGGTCCTGGCTGACCTTCACACTGCCCACCCGGGGGTAGTTCGCATGAAGGCCCTCGGCAGCAGTTATGTGTGGTGGCCAAAGTTTGACCAGCAGGTTGAGAACTAGGTAGCCCATTGCTGCCAATGTCCACACACATGTCCCGCTCCCCCTTCAGTGCCCATACAGGATTGGGAACCTCCCAGGCGCCATGGGCAAGGGTCCACCTAGACCTAGCAGGGCCCTTTTTAGGCCAAACCTTTCTGATCGCTGTTGATGCCCACTCTAAATGGGTGGAGCTTGCCATCATGCAATCGACTACCAACACGGCCGTCATCAGGATATTGGAGGGATGGTTTGCCACCCATGGGTTACCGGATACCATAGTCACCAATAATGGGCCGCAGTTCACTTCGGCACCCTTCCAGCTGTTCCTGGCCTGGTTGGGCATCCGCCATGCCCAAACAGCACCGCTACATCTGGCAGCTAATGGGCAGGCGGAAAGGGCCGTGCGTTCTGCCAAAGAGGCGTTGTGCCACATAGGGTCCACCGATTGGCACCACAAACTTCACCAGTACCTGCTAGCCCAGCACATGACCCCTTGTACCTCTATTAAACAAAGCCCCGCAGAGCTCCTCATGGGCAGATGGCTCCGGACAACCCTAGACCGCCTGCACCCTAACTAAGCTCACAAACCACCTCCCAGAATGAGCATTCCACCACGGGTCTTCAGTGTGGGGGACCTGGTACATGCACTAAACTTTGATAAAGACATTCGATGGCTACCAGGACAAATAATCTGAATAACTGGGCCCTATTCTTATAGAGTCCAGCTCACCGACGGGAGAATTTGGAGACGGCATGTAAATCAGCTGAGACGGCGGATTGCAGAACTCGAGCCTCGGCCTTCGTTAGATCCTCCAGTGCCAACAACAGAACGCAGTCCCAATGAACTGCTCCCTAGCTCAAATCCCACCCGGCCTTCCATGACCGAAGCGTTCTTGCCGGAGCGCTTACCTGACATCCAGGGTCCGGCGATGAGTTCGAGTCCTCCTCCATTGAATGACGCTCCACTTCCCGTTGTGCTGGAGAGAGAAGGCGGGGCTCCACCTGAGGCATCGGCCACGCCCGTTGTCAGACGGTCTGGGAGGCGCCGTCATCGTCCCACATATTTGGAGGACTACGATTGCGCGAGCCGGGTGTGAAGGGGTGTTAAGTCCTCACTGTTACGACTCCCCGCGCCTCAGCTGTCGCCGGGCTAAGTTGATTGGTTCTAACACGAGCAGCTGAAGTGGAGGGAAATCGCTGCTCGCTCATTGGTTCTCGTGTTTGACAGCTCGCTATTTAAGTGGCTGTCAGGAGTCACGTTTGGGTACTGTTGCTTGCCATGTTTGGTGTTTCCTGTTGATGCCTCATTAATAAAGTTGAGTTTGACCAACCAAGCCTCCGTCTGTATTTGCCCACTGAATTTTACTTTAATTTAATTTAAATTAATTAACTTAATTTATTATTTATTATTAATTTAATTAATGAATTTTAATTTAATTTAATTTTAATTAATTAACTTGGAACTGACAAGATGTAGTTATAATACTCAACCTGCTCTACCGTCTCTTTCCGACATTAGCAGATCCAAACTCATCAAGGCCCAAAGCACCCAATTCATTATCATTATTATTAGCAGCAGTTCTCTCACCTTCCAGATTCCATGCTACAATGTAATTTATCAATGTGTAAATTTTGGAAGTCTAGAAATTTTCTTGATTGTTCAAAGGCTCCCTTATCTAGTGGTGGTGACCTGAACTGGCATGAAGGTGAGGGTAACCATATCTGATGACCTTTAGTTATCAAAACGTCTTTTATTCAACCACTTCCTCCTTTGACAATAGGGCCATTGGTTTAGACTCACTGAAGCATACCAGGTGAAGTATAAATGAAACCAGTGCCATCAGGAGAACTTCACTTTTTGGAAGAGCAAAGAGAAGAGAAGCGAGATGTTCCGTCCATTGCTTGCTTGTTTTTTTCTGGTGGCCTTTGGACAACTTCTGGTAAGAAGGGATCAGTTTTAGGGTGTTGGGCTTAGTTACTTACACAAGTAACCTTGAAATCATCTCTATCTTATTTTCTCACCCTGCTTTCCTTCTTTCAAGATCTCTTTGGATGAGATCTTGTCAACATTTCAGTACCAATGTACTGTTTTCCCACTATATTTGCACATTGCTTATATCTGCAATTATCTGCAAGAGTGGAGGAGGTAGAGGTGGAGGAATGTCAGATTTGGTTCCAAACACCCCAGGATAGTCTTCCCAGGAGAAGCTACTAATATTGCCTTCAATTAGAAAAAATATTTTCTAATTCCTTGCAGACATTTCAGTATTGCAGTATTGTTGTTGTAGTTAGTTGCAAAGTTGTGTCCGACCCATCACAACCCCATGGACAACACTCCTCCAGGCCTTCCTGTCCTCTACCATCCTCTGGAGTCCATTTAAGCTCACACTAACTGCTTCAATGACTCCATCCAGCCACCTCGTTCTCTGTCGTCCCTTTCTTCTTTTGCCCCCAATCGTTCCCAACATGAGGCTCTTCTCCAGTGAGTCCTTCCTTCTCATTAGGTGGCCAAAGCATTTGAGTTTCCTCTTCAGGATCTGGCCTTCTAAAGAGCAGTCAAGGTTGATCTCCTGTAGGACTGACCGGTTGGATCACCTTGCAGTCCAAGGGACTCGCAGGAGTCTTCTCCAGCCCCATAGTTCAAAGGCCTCAATTCTTCTGTTGTTTTGGAAAGCTCTTCGGGCATCTCTTAAAATAAAAAAGGGCTCACATTTGAATTGCAAAAATACCCATACACAGTTGTTCAGGATACACTTTTTTGTTTTTGTTATAATCATTTTGAATTTTTATTTAATGAATCAACAGTTAGTTGGTTAAGGTCTGTTTTCAGCACTGAAAATAAATGTGTATGCTTAAACATGAAAATGAATACCATAGCCTTATTTATTTATTTTTTTATATTTCTCCTTCCCTTTCTATTTATCTTTCTTCGTTCTTTTGTTAATAATCATGAACCTTTTTCTTTCAGGAGGTCCAGGCCAGATCGAAGGTAAGCACTCCACATTTCCAACATCGGCATGCCATATCTGCCATCCACAAGACTAAGATTTATATTTGCAGAACCACGATTTTGGTTCCTTTTTTAATTAATTATGACAAGTTTTGAAACATAATGATGATAATTATCTATCCATATAATGGCAGAACCAAGTCCTAATATTTTTAAAAAATAAATAACCAGAAGCAGCAATATCCACCAATACGCCTGGTGGTAAATTAATACACAGATAACAAAATAAAATTTGTTCATAAGGACCCCAAATCATGGTTAGGACTTCCTTCCTTCCTTCCTTCCTTCCTTCCTTCCTTCCTTCCTTCCTTCCTTCCTTCCTTCCTTCCTTCCTTCCTTCCCTCCCTCCCTCCCTCCTTCCTTCCCTCTCTCCCTCCCTCCCTCTCTATTCTTTCTATATTTAGGTATATATCGGCTGAATAGCTATCATGCATTATCGTATGGAAAAATAAGGAGTGTAAGCGTGTGTGTGTGTGTTTATATGTGTGTATGTGTGTATGTTATATGTATATGTATGTATGTATGTGTGTGTGTTTGTGTCTCTGTGTGTATGTGTATATCATTATATAGCCTTGAATTTACTTTAGATTTAGAGATATAGAGGGAGAGGGAGAGGGAGGGAGGGAAGGAGGGGGAGGGAGAGAGGGAGAGAGAGAGAGATTTTTTCATTGAAGGCACCATGGCAAAGATATCTCCTGTGTTCCTATTCATGCCCAGGAAAAAGAAGTCAGCCTAGGTGACTTCTCCTACTAAGTGCATCTTTTCAACAGAGAGAAAACATCTGCAGAATTTGGCCTTTTTGCAACTCCAAACCCCCCTCCCCCAAATTTATTATGTCACTTGTGATATCCAGTTCTCTTTCACTGAGAAATGGCAAACATGGGCACCATTTCTAGCTCTATTGTATTTTTATTGTAAACCACCCAGAGGTGAGATGGGCAATGCAGAAATGTGATAGATAAATAAAAATAAAGTTCTCAATACTTGTTTCGCCTCAGAATCAAGGAACATTCTGCCCCCGTTCTGAGGTTGTTTTTTCTAATCATTAAATAAAATCCAGGTGTTTTGCTTTTACTCTCTAAAAGCAAATTTTGATTCCAACCCAAATCCTCCAAATGTGGTCCAATATTGCAGTAATAGAATGTTCCAGTCAAACTCGCCCAGAGAAATTCCTGCTTTTTGCATACAGGACACACAGGAAAATCCAGATTATGTGGTGGAACTTAAAAATATAATGTTTCATTGGTTTTATTTTCTTTAATTTAGATGTCACCCTCATAATCACCATTACTTCACTTGCTTCGATGAGCTCTCCTAGGGACTTGCTAAATGTTAGAAAGGGTTGACTCTTCCCCATATCCACAAGGGATTCCCTCCTTTCAATGGTGTTTCTGTGCTTCATCTTTGGCCAAATGGGATAGATTGCCGAATATTGCTCTTCATTTCATCATCACAATTTTGGTTTTCACTCTTGCCCATTTTCACAGGCTGCTGCTGAGGAAGTTGAGGGTCAAGCAAAACAATTGCAAGTTCAGGCACTAAAGGACCTTCAGGTGAGTGTCAGAAAATATTATACTAACTTCCCTTTAATCAGTGGTGGAATTCAAATAATTTAACAACCGGTTCTCTGCTCTAATGATGGGCTGGGTGGGCATGGCCATGGTGGGCGTGGCCATGGGGGTGTGACAGGCAGCACTTGGCCTCCTGCACCCTCCTGGGAGCAAAAACAGGCCATGGGAATGATGTGCCGCTCTCTCCTGTGTTCCGTTTTGGGGCTAGGAGGCCTTTCTGAAGCCTCCTGGGAGTGAAAATGGTCTGCGGGGGGGGCACACACCGCACCCCCCACACCCCATTTTGGGCCTAGGAGGCCTCCTTGCACTTACTTGGGAGACAAAATGGGGTGCATGGGGACTCCTGGAAGGGGAGGAGAAGGGCAGAGCCAGGCAGCAATTTAACTACTGATTTACCCAAACCGGCCCAAACCGGCTGAATCCCACCGCTGCCTTTAATGGAAGTTCTATAATTGAACACACACCAAGGACTATTCTTCTCCGAGAGCATCTGGGGCCAGACAGACACTAGAAGGCTGGTATTTACTCTTTGGTCCACTTCCCACAATGCTTAGGTTGTAACGTGCTGCATAGGTGGGAAACTCAGGATGACTGGTCCAAGTGTTTATTGCCCTTTGCACCACCTTATCCACACCTCCTGCTGCCCTTCCCTTCTTAGTCTAACAGAACCAACTGAAAAAGTCTAAAACAGAGGTTCTCAACCCATGGTCCGCGGACCCCTGGAGGTCCAGGATGTCATCACAAGGGGGTCCACGAAGGCTTGTAGAAATGTTGTGATTTAAGTAGAGATTAGGAAGAGGGAAAAAATTGTTACATATATTCTTATATAATACTTTAAAATCAATGTGTAGATGAACAGATCAGAAGTTGAAAGATGATTGTATTATGTACACTTAAATAGTATTATTATGGTTGTTAGTAATGTGTATTAAGATATTGAATAATTAAATAATGAAGGGTTACATACACCGTGGAGCAAATACTACAGTGTTAACAACTTTAATTGTAATATTTATAATGTGACTATAATGCTGTGAGTATGATTAATGTAATTAATACAAAATCCCAAGGGAAGTATGAAAAATATTCCAAAAATCAGCAAGAATTGAAATACTAAAATGGGCAAGAGATGGTGGTTAGATATAGAATACATACTAATATAAGATTTATGCTATTAAGATTTAGAATAGAGGTAGAAATTAGAAATGGGGGAAATATTATTATGCATATTTCTATATAATATTCTAAAATCAATAGTAGAGGAAAGTATTAGAAGTTGAAAGATGATTGTGTTGTTTACAATGTTATTATAATGATGTGAGTATGATTAATGTAATTAAGATTACTAAAACTGTCAATATTATTACTATTATTTGGTATCAAAACTAATGATACCCAAAGGCCACACTGTTCATGTATTCAATATTTATAGACAGACAGACAGACAGACAGATAGATAGTAAAAGTAAAGGTCCCCCTCTCACATATGTGTTAGTCATTCCCAACTCTAGGGGGCAGTGCTCATCTCTGTTTCAAAGCCGAAGAGCCAGCACTGTCCGAAGATTTCTCTGTGGTCATGTGTCCGGCATGACTCAACACCAAAGGCATCCAGATAGAAAGATAGATGATAGATAGATAGATAGATAGATAGATAGATAGATAGATAGATAGATAGATAGATAGATAGATAGATAGATAGATAGATAGATAGATACATAGATAGATAGATACATACATACATACATACATACATACATACATACATACATACATACATACATACATACCAAAAGAAAAAAAAAGAAATGTTATGATTTAAGTCTTGGTGGTCCATGGTTACAAAACGTATATAAAGGGACTCTGGGCTGAAAAAAAGGTTGAGAACCATCAGTCTAAACTATAATGCGAAGTCAGGGAAACCCCCCAAAAGATAGTTAGATAATGAAAGCCAGTAAGTTAACATCTGTTTTTTCATCACCTTTCTTGTAAAGTAAATTCAAGACTTCACTCAGCTCAGGAGGATTTCTCCAGGAATCCCTTTTCCTTTGAAAGGATTTGGAAAAAGAAACAGTCTTTCTTTCAAAGTGATAGAGGGAAGAGTAGGATTTTCTGCAGGGCATTTACAAACCCCATTTGACTCCCAGCAACCAAGAGCAAAAACTGTTCTGCGTATCCATGATTAGTAGGCGAAAGCAGAATGCATTAACTCTTGTTCTTCTTATTTGTTCTTCAGGAAAAAGAAGAAGATGTGGGGAAAAAAGCAGCTGTGAGTATGTTGGAAGGATGCTCCATTGGCAAATGACATACAAGGGTAGCTCTATCATTAGGTAAAAGGAGACAACCATCTCAGCCAGGAGGGAGGAGAATGGTGGCAGGCCTTTTGAGGTTCTTATCAACTACGCCATCCTTTCCTACTTCATTCTCTGTTGGGAATACAAAATTCAACCTGGAGTGGATTATTTGAAGTCATTAGATAGTGAAAACCAGCTGTTTCCAGCCTGCTTATCCTCCAAATATGTTGGATGGGCTGAGTTCACTGTGGAGCAGGGGTGAAATGCTCCCGGTTCGGACCGGATCAGGCGATCCGGTAGCGATTGTGGCAGGTGGTTTGGAGAACCGGTAGCGATGGTGGCGCGAGGCTCTGCCCACCTGTCCAAGTGTCTTTACTTCCTGCTTTAAAAGGCTAAAAAAAAAGGCTCGGATGATCATGTGGCTCAGCTGTGATCGTCAGAGCCTCTTTTTTTTTTACTTTTAAAAGCATTTTTTTACAACCTATTCAGCCAAATATGTTGTAAAAAAATGCTTTAAAATAGTTTTTTTTAAAAAAGGTTGGCCACGCCCACCCAGTCACATTACCCCCCCACCCACCCACCAAGCCATGCCCACAAAACTGGTAGGAACAAATTTTACATTTCACCATTGCTGTGGAGGCTGATGGGACTTGTAGTTTCCCATTTGTAGTTGATTCCTCCCTCTCAGGGGTGAAATCCAGCAGGTTCTGACATGTTCTAGAGAACCGATAGCGGAAATTTTGAGTAGTTCAGAAAACCGGCAAATACCACCTCTGGCTGGCCCCAGAGTGGGGTGGGAATGGAGATTTTGCAATATCCTTTCCCCAGGAGTGGGGAGGGAATGGGGATTTTGCAGTATCCTTCTCTTGGAGTGGGGTGGGAAATGGAGATTTTGCAGTATCCTTCCCCTGCCATGCCCGCCAAGCCACACCATACCCACCAAGCCACACCCACAGAACCGGTAGTAAAAAAAAAATGGATTTCACTACTGCCCCCTCTCCTTTTCTCCAGGAAGCTCATGTAAAACCCTTGTCAGTTCCAGCAGCAAATAACCTTCTGGTAAGTGTCAAAAATGTTATACTAATATATCTTTAAGTTCTACAATTGAGTACAAACTAAGGAGTTTTACTCTAAGGTAGTGTCTGGGTCCCCAACTTGCAGGCAGATGTTACAAGGCTAGTATTTACCCTTTGGTCTGTTCTGCAAGGCAACCCATCCACATCCCTCAATGCCTAGGATGGAACAAAGCATGGTGGGAACCTCAGGATGACTGACCAAAGTGTTTATTGACTTCTGCAATACTTTATCAATGCCTTCCTGCTGTTCTTTCCTTCCTAGTCTAGAAAAACAACTGAAAAAGTCTGGAATATCATGAGGAGTCAGGGAAGCCCCCACAAGGATGGTGGTATAATAAAAGGCAGAAGGTTAACATCCACCACTTCATCACCGTTCATCTAAAGCAGGACTCTCCAAACTTGGCAGCTTTAGGACTTGTGGACTTCAACTTCCAGAATTCCTTAGCATGGCTGGCTGAGGAATTCTGGGAGTTGAAGTCCACAAATCTTAAAGTAGTCAAGTTTGGAGACCTTTGATCTACAGGAAATCCAAGACCTCATTCAATTCGTGAGGATTTCTCCAGAGATCTCTTTTCTGGAGAAAATTTTTCTCAAAAAAAATCTCTTTTTGAAGGAACTTGGACAAAGAAACAAACTTCCTTTGTATTAAAACAGTAGGGGAAACAAAGGACAATTTTCCCGCAAGGCCTTTAAAAAAAAAAAAAACCTGATAAACTCCCAGCAACCAGCAGCAAAATTCTTCTCTGTTTTAGTTGGGAAAAGCCAGAAATTATTTATTTATTTATTTATTTATTTATTTATTTATTTATTATTTATTTATTAATCAAATTTCTATACCGCCCTACTCCCGAAGGACTCAGGGCGGTGAACAGCCAAGATAAAATACAGATAATACAAATATTAAAAATCCCTTAAAATTATTAAATATTTTGGCCGAAACACAGATTAAAACACCCAATTTATAAAATCACGAATTAAAAATTTAAAAGAGGAGAGTTAGGCCAGGCCAGCCTGCTGAAATAAAAAAGTTTTGAGAGCATGACGAAACGTGCGCAGGTCTGGGATCCTCCGTATCTCTGGGGGGAGCTCATTCCAGATGGTAGGTGCCCCCACAGAGAAGGCTCTCCCCCTGGGGGCCGCCATTAATTGTTCTTTTATTATGATTTATTCAGAATCATGGACGTCTGGTGAAAAGAGCTGCTGTAAGTATGCTGGAGGATGTTACATTGGCAAATGATAAACAGATGTTGGAAGAAATGTCCACCTGGGTTCAGTTCCAAGTGGAGAGAAAGACACTGGAAACACGGAGGCTGCTTGGAAGGATGGTTTAATGGTGAAGCAGAACCACCAAACACGTGTGATTCTGGGTAGCTGAACACATGGAGTGGAAAGAGAGAGAAAGATTTATATCCTCTCTTGGGCCTTGCCCTAGAGCTTCCTGTTCTTGTGGCAAGGGCATTTATCCTATTGCCTGCTGTAGGGGTAATGTGCAAATCTTAGGAGTTTGTCTGAGATAAGTCTGGTTGAACTGTGCGAATAACCCCAGGTGCCATGTGGTGAGCTCTGCTGCTAGATAATCCTATCATGTCCTGGAGGGTCATGTCTTAATCCCATCACCCTGGAGCTGGAGGCCTTTTGTTTTGTAGATAGGGTGGCCCAGTCTTTCTGGGGCTATTAACAAAGGTGGGGGCTGTTTTCCAAGAGCATGTTTGTCCTTTTCTCATCCAGGGAGATGCCTTTTTAATATTTCCTAAAATATTTCATTCTTCTAGTAGGGGAGGGGGGTGCTAACTTTCTACACATTTAGCCCTTTCACTAAATAAAATGAGACAAGCTTCTCAGACAGGAGAGAGGAGAAAGATGGCACCCTTCTGATGTTCTTACCCATTAAGCCATCCTTCTCCTACTTGATGCCTTCCAACTGTACTAGAGTCATTAGATAGTGAAAGCCAGCCATTCCCAGTCCACTTATCTACTAGTGAGCTGAGTTCACTGTGGAGGTCGATGGGACTTGTAGTTTATCACAACTGGAAAATGATAATTTGGAGAAGTCCCAGAAGGACTTTTCAAAAAGAAACTGGCCTTTCCTGGTTCTTCAATTCTTGGATGAGAAGTGAAATGTTTTTGAGGGGGAAAAAAAAAAAACAAGAAAAGCATTTTTGGAATAACCAGGGGTGGGCTCCTGGGGGTTCGGCAGGATTCGCATGATCCTCTATCCAAGGATCGCCGGGGTTCAGTGCCACCCCTGGCTGGACCCTCCCACCCCACCTCACCCCACCCCACCCCTCCCAGGAGTCTCCACGCAGCCCATTCATCATTCCAGGTAAGTGCAGGGGCTGCGTGGAGGGTCTGGGAGAGCAAACAACGGGCCTACTGGAGGTTCTGGAAGTCTTCCTGGGGGAAGTTGTTTCCGCCTTCACAGAGGCTCGAGGAAAGGCTCCGGAGTCTGGGGAGGGTGAAAAACGGGCCTCCTGGAAGTTCCAGAAGTTCAGAAATGGGCCTGTTTCCACCCTCCGGAGGGCCTCCAGACCTTGAGGGAAGCAATTTTCGTCCTCCTAGATGCTCGAGGAAAGCCTGGGGAAACACATATACACCCCACCCACCGTGGTGCAGGCAATCAACTAGGCCATGACCACCATGGCCACGCCCACTCAGCGACATGGCAGCAAACCCGTTGCTAAAGATTCTGAAGCCCATTGCTGGGCACAACCATGACCTTGATGAATATCCATAGACATTAAGTTGGAGAAGGTTCACAAGACTATAAAACAGAAGTGCATAATTGGATCCCAATGCCACCCACCCCCAAAAGACTCTTGGAGATGGTTCCCAGAGCTCTCCAAATTGACTTGCCTTATTTGGTCATTTTTATTATAGAGGGGAAAATGGTCCAATTCTCTGATTAGAGAGCAATGTTATCGATTCTATTTATTTTGAATCACTTGTAAATGTAAATAAAATGGTTCTGCTTTGCTGCCTTGGCCCAACTACCCATTTCTTTTTCGAATGCAATCCTTGGTGCATGCTTGCAAGGCCAGATGTGGCTTTTTGCCTTTTCATTTCCGACAAGTCCAAATCTCATTGCAAATGGATACTCTTGCCTGTTTATTTTTTAGCCTGAAGAACAGGAAGAAGGAGTCGGTCAAAACAATCAGGAAGAAGGAAGAGGAAGAGGAAAGGGGAAAGGAAAAGGAAAAGGAAAAGGAAAAGGAAAAGGAAAGGGGAAAGGAAAAAGGGGAGGAAAAGGAAAAGGGAAAGGAAGAGACGCTCAGGTAAGAAAAGGGATTAAGTCCCAAAATGACCCATTTATCTATCATTCCCGTATCTTCTAATTTTGTTCCTCTGCTATGCCACAAACAACCCAGAAACCAGTGGTGGGATTCAGCCAGTTCGCACCATTTCGGGAGAACCGGTTGTTAACTTTCTGAGCAGTTTGGCAAACTGGTTGTTGGAAGAAATCATTAGGGCAAAAAACCGGTTGTTAAATTACTTGAATCCCACCACTGCCAGAAACTATGTTTATAACAAACTCCCAAATGTAGCTTATGCTGTAAATGCAGCCGCTAGGTCTTTAACTGACCTGGTTAAGTATGTTGAGCAAACCCAGTTGGACAGCAAGCTGCAGATGCAGTTCATTGCATTCCCCTCCCCCAGTTCAACATTATGCTGGTTTGCGGGCCTTGCAATTCTCAACTTGTCTCCGCTATTACGCCGTTATTGAAAGTCAGGTTTGTCTGATCATAGATAAATATCAGGATGGACTAACGTCTGTATTTTTCTAGGGTGAACAAATGCAACAGGCTGGCGATCAGTAAGCACTACTGGTAAGTTTTCTAATACAATAAAGGTAAAGGTTTCCCTTGCACATATGTGCTAGTCGTTTCCGACTCTAGGGGGACGATGTTCTTCTCTGTTTCTAAGCCGAAGAGCCAGTGCTGTCCGAAGACATCTCCGTGGTCATGTGGCTGGCATGACTAAATGCCAAAGGCACCTGAAATGCTGTTCCCTTCCCACCAAAGGTGGTCCCTATTTTTCTACTTGCATTTTTTACGTGCTTTCGAACTGCTAGGTTGGCAGAAGCTGGGACAAGTAACGGGAGCTCACCCCGTTATGCGGCGCTAGGGATTCGAACCGCTGAACTGCCGACCTTTCAATTGACAAGCTCAGCCACTGAGCCACCGCGTCCCCCCCCTTTTTTTTTAATGAATGGAGAAGAACATTAAACTCACATTTTAATGGCAAGCCCAGCCACCGAATTCCTTTGCTAACCAGAGTGGTTATTCTGGGGTTTTGCAGAAGCATGGATTGAGTTACCCACACCTTCTTGCCACCAAAATGTTTCAAAATGCAAGGAACGCCTTTTTAGCTGGGGAATTGTGAGCTCATGGAAAAGAGCCTTCAGCTCTTTGGAATCGCGAGACAGACATGGACCCAATTTGCTTCCACTGTTTTGGTTGTGCTTTCTCGGTCATCTGATCTTTTCTGCTCTTCCAGGTGCTGCCAATGTCGGAAGGAAGACCAAGCTATTAGACAAGCTGCTCCTTTCCTCCTAATTAGAAGCGATCACTCACCTGATGAAATGTACCAAAAAGCAAGGCTGGTGGTGGGAATAGTGATTGTTTACTTCTGTCTGCTGGGTTTAGGGAACTTTCAATGACAATAAAGTACGAGCATCATCCGTTCTTGTCCTCTTATGATTTCAAGGCCTAAAAATGATCACGTCTCAATCACAAGTCTCCAATATCTACATGACCAGCAGCCTCCTCTGTCTTGTAAGCCTAGCATCAGCCTTGGGCCAGGGACTCCTCAATTTACAACCATCCGTGTAGTAAAGTTACGACGGCATTGAAAAAAAGTGACTTATGACCGTATTTTCATACTTAGGATCACTACAGCATCCCCCATGGTCAGCGTTCAAAATCTGAGCACTTGGCTACTGTTTCAGACTTATGGCAATGGCATAAGTGTCCCCGAGGTCACCGGATCCCTTTTTGCCACCTTCTGACCAGGAAAGTCAACAGGGAAACCATATTCATTTAACAGCCGTGTTACTAACTTTATTTATTTATTTATTTATTTATTTATTTATTTATTTATTTATTTATTTATTTATTTAAATTTGTATAACGCCCTTCTCCCGAAGGACTCAGGGCGGTGAACAGCCGAAATTAAGATACATATAATATAAAAGTTAAAAATAACTAAAATAAATTAAATCAATCAGCCTCCCAATTTAAAATCCCACATCTATACAATTAAAAAAAACTAACACAATTTTCTTCTCCCTCTAACCCAGTTAAGGCCAGTGAGTTCCCCAAATCTTTGATGGATGGCTTTTTGACCAATCCCTTGCAACAGGCTGGAGTCAGGATGACTAAATGGAGCTGAGCATTTACTGGCTGGATGCCCTTCCTGAGACCTACATGGAGTTCACAGCAGATATTTTCCTTTTGTGCTCAGAGAGAGAAATATCTGCCACTATCTAGGATCAATCTGGGTATTGAACTGGGTATGTCTAGTTGAATGAAAAGAAGGACTAGGGGAGACATGATAGCAGTCTTCCAATATCTCAGGGGCTGCCACAAAGAAGAGGGAGTCAAGCTATTCTCCAAAGCACCTGAAGTCAGGACAAGAAGCAACGGGTGGAAACTAATCAAGGAGAGAAGCAATTTAGAACTAAGGAGAAATTTCCTGACAGGACAATTAATCAGTGGAACAACTTGGCTGCAGAAGTTGTGATGCTCCAACACTGGAAATTTTTAAGAAGATGTTGGATAACCATTTGTTTGAAGTGGTGTAGGGTTTCCTGCCTAAGCAGGGGGTTGGCCTAGAAGACCTCCAAGGTCCCTTCCAACTCTGTTATTCTATTCTATTCTATTCTATTCAATCTCATAGTCTCCTGATTGTGAGGTGAAAGCTCCACCTCTAGGCCACCACTCCACTCCTTTCAAATTAATCCATAAAACCATTTTAATCCATAGGGCCTAGGGGTGAATCCAAAATTTTTCCCTACCATTTCTGTGAGCGTGGCTTGGTGGGCATGGCAGGGGAAGGATATTGCAAAATCTCCATTCCCACCCCACTCCAGGGGAAGGATACTGCAACATCTCCATTCCCTCCCCTCCTGGGAGAAGGATATTGCAAAATCTCCATTCCCACCCCATTCTGGGGCCAGCCAGAGGTGGTATTTGCTGTTTCTCTGAACTACTCAAAATTTCTGCTACCGGTTCTCCAGAATCTATCAGAACCTGCTGGATTTCACCCCTGATAGGGCTTTTTTAATTCATTGGATTGTAGATAGATGAAGTAGGTAATAAATTCACACTGAGGCACAACTGTTGTTGTGCAAGGTATATTGATTAAGTCATGTTACTTTATTTGCAAGAAGCAGCTTTTGTACAGTCGGTACCAGATAAAGGTTCAACACCAAGTAAAAAAGAATCATTTGAGTCAGCAATGATATCCTTGATGAAAAGTCTGGGCAGAAATCATCTGGACCACTGGTGATAGGCTTTTAGTACTATATAAAGAAGAAAATAAAACATCCTTAAGACTCTCAATAAGCACTCATCGTTATTATCAATAAGATCTACACACAGTGATTAATTTCTCATTTGTAGAGAAGGAAGCACTCGGTAACATCTGGAGTTTCCTGTAGATAACAATTGTGTAGAGTATATAGCCTGAAGTTGTTGATGCTAGAGAAAATGGCTCCATATCTGATTGGGAACTTCCCGTTAGAAGCAGAATTCTAAACCAGGTAGATAACCTGATCAGTTTTAACAAGGAAGTTGTTATATTTGTCTGTGCTGCTCCCTTCTCCCCAGCCCTGGTTTCATAACAAAATGAATTCTATTTTATGCAAAGTCAGCTGCCCTATTTCATGATGGATCCCACAACAGAAAGGGGCTTTGGCCAGAGCTGGAGACCGGGATCTTACCAGTAGGAAGCTACAGAATAGAATTAAGCCTTTAACAGAGAGGTTCAAAATTATACAAACTTACCACGATTTCGGGTCCATTATAGGAATTCTACAATACAAAAACAAATACAGAAAAGTGGGAATCAGGACATTGTTTCTACACTAACTTGTTGATTAAAAAAACCCTGTTTTATCTAAACTGCAATACAGACCCCCTTGAGAATGTTGAATTATAGAGTATCTCAAGAGGGATAAAAGACAACTCATTTTGAATTTATACAGCATGCTAGACCAGGCCAAAATGAAATGAACTACAATTTAGTATGCTGAGACAAAGGCATCCATTGTCTTATTGTAAGTCTTAAATAAGTTTATCATGCAAATCAATGAATGACTTGATCAGCGGCCATCCAAAGTTACAAAGGCACTGAACAAAGGAGAACTTACAATTGTGCCTTTATTTTTGGCTGTTGTAGCATTCCTATAGTCACGTAATCACAATTTGGGTGCTTGGCAACCAGTTCATAATTATGGCATCGCAACATCTCATGGTCATTAGTCACCATTTGGGACCTTCATAGCTGGCTTCTGAGAAACAAAGTCAGTGAGGAAGCCAGCAAGCAGTCCTAATGATGATCACATTAGACGTTGCACCTAAAGACTGTGTAGGGTTTATTGAATGACGGCAACCAGAACTGCGGAAACTGCTGTCATAATTTGACATGATCAGGTGAAGTTGCATTTATGACGGTGTCACTTAATAATGGAGTTGCCATCCCAATTACCATTGGGAAGGACTGCCTGTAATGTCCCAAAGGTGCTTTTTTAAGAGGCAATGGGACTTACTGGTTTTTCTTTGAAGACGTTTGGCTTCTCATCCAAGAAGCAACAGGACAAGATTCAGCAGTCCATCTGCATTTAAAAGACAAAGGCCACTCTTTTGAAGACAGCAAAGTCCACAATTTAGACAAAGAGGATTACTGGTTTGAAAAAGGGGTCAAAGAGGCCATCTGCGTCCAAATTGAACAGCCCTCTCTCAACAGAGGGGGAGGGATATGACATCATCTATCTCCTGTCTACGACACAGTCCCTTCAACAGTTCCAAGAAGGCTCCACACCCATTTGCACTACTCAGGTGACCCTGAGGACATGGGTAAACCTCCAGGTGATCTTAATGACCTACTAAATGAATGTGAATGACCAGCTGTCTGCAAGGACTATAAATCTTTCCATTCCCCACCATCTGGTCAGAGCTGAAGAAGCTTCTTGGATGAGAAATGAAATGTCTTCAAAGAAATACCAGAAAGTCCAATTGCCTCTTGAAAAAAAGCACCTGTGGGACAACGATGACTTGGATGACCAAAAATCTCCACAGACTGCCTGTAATGTGATTCTTTGGGAAGAGTGTGATCTGAGAACATCGTTATTAGTTTTTTTTTTTTCTTAATTCAGATTTTACGTGCTCTGTAAACCAAGCCACAGCTTTCTATCTGAAACCAGTCTGGTGTGGGAAGAGGGGGAAAACAGTGGTTAGTGACTATTTGGAGAATGAAAAAAAAATGTTTTGGACATAGTAAAATAAAATTCCAAACCATTATGGTGATGTTAATAAGGAGGGGATGAGCTTGCGACAGTAGCAAGCTTTTCTTTAAAATATTAGTCATCCAAAGACCGCGCTGTCGTGTGAAAGTGGCCAAGTGACATCACCAAGAGGGACTGGACTGAAAACAGATCGTTAATCAACATGATAACTGGCCATTAGAGTAACAGCATACAGTTTATGTGGAAAGAAACCCACTTTGGGAAGGGGTTCTAAATATTTATTCTGGGCTTCTGAAAGTAAGAGTCCAAAAACATGGCTCACAATCTGGTTTTGTCATTGTTGCCAGCCATTCAGTTGTGTCCGACCTTGGCCACTCTATGGATCAGTACTCTCCATGCCTCTCTGACTTGCAGCACAGACTTCAGATCCGCCATGGTCATCCCAGTGTCATCTTTTATAGGGTCCAGCCAATGGGTACTAGGGCGGTCCCTTCTCATTTTTTCACTGATCACTCCCAGCATGATTGACTTTTCATGTAAGCCCAACTCTCACGACATGACCAAAGTATGACAGCCTCTGTTTGGCAATCTTGGCTTCAAGTGATATTTTTGGTGAGGTTTGGTCTAGGACAGTGATGGCTAACCTTTTTGCCGTCACGTGCCAAAAGTGGGGGGAGCATGGGAGGTCACGGGTACGTGTGCCCCCATCCATAATTCAATGTGCCCCGCCTCCCGCACGTGCGCACGTGACCCTCACACACTTCCCCCTGCTTTTGGCACACAATGACACGGTGGGCCCAGTAGGCCTGTTTTTCCCCCTCCCAGGGCTCCAGAGGCTTTCTAGGAGCCTGGGGAGGGCAAAAACAGCCTTCCCCATCCCTCCGGAGGCCTTCCGGAGGCTGGAAACAGCCAGTTTCCGACTTCTGGTGGGACTGGAAGGCCTGAAAATCAGTTTGCCGGTGTGCGCATGTGTGCTGGAGCTCAGCTAGGGCAACATCACGTGCCCACCAATATGGCTTCACGTGCCACCTGTGGCACCCGTGCCATAGGTTCGCCATCACGGGTCTAGGACTTCTTCGTTATTTTTGCAGTCCGTGGGATGCATAATCGTGGCCCACCAGCACCACAGTTCAAAGCAGTCCAGTTCTAGGATGCCTTCGAACAGTGGTGAGTCTGCTCCAGGACTGTGTAAATCTCTTCTAGGACTACACAAAATTGTATAGCTTGCAGATCTCTGGCATCTACTGTTGAAAGTGGGACTTTGATTAAGAATGACTCTTAATCATTCATAGTACTGACCATTAGAAATATAGAGAGCAATGTTTCTCAACTTTAGCAACGTTAAGAAGTGTGGACTTCCAGAATTCTTCAACAAGCCATGCTGACCGGAGAATTGGGGGAATTAAAAGCTATACATCTTAAAATTACCAAGATTGAGAAAGACTGAGATAGAGGCTCAGATCCAATATAGGTTCCGGTTTATCTCTAACCTAGTCTCTGCAGGTGTGAAATGCTACTGGTTTGCTCGGTTCGGGAAACCAGTAGTGATTAAAAAAATGGTTCAGGTAGTTTAAAAAAGCTATTGGTTCCTACGAACGGTATTTCTGACGATCAGCTGTGCCGCAGGAAATCCTGCTTTCTAGTGAAGCTAAATCATGCGGCACAGCCGATCCCACCCCCTCGCTGTTCTACTTACCTTCCCAAGCCTCCTTTTGGTGCTCACTGCACATGCGCACACAGCACGCATTTGGTGCACACGGGTGAGTGACGCGCGCTGCATATGCGCATGCACAGCCAGCAAACCGGTAGCAAACCGGTTCAGATTTCACCACTGAGTCTCTCCCTTCCTGCCTTTGTCTCTAAGCAAACACACATAGACATGCCTTTTTGAATCTCCTTGCTAGGATGTAGCTCTAGATACTAAGACGTTCTTCCTCCTTCCTATAGATAAATCATCTTTCCATTAAAATAAGACCTGTTTTGGATTCTCCTCTCTCTCTCTCTCAGAAGGCAAAATACATTCTCCAACACTTACTCCATTGTCATTGAAGCTGTTGTCGCCAACCTTGTTGTTATCAAAGCTTCCACTATTCTAAAAATAGAGCACAAGAGCATATGTTAGGGTCTCATTGTCCGCTGTAGGTTGACTTTCAGGAATATCCATTTATTTACCTGTACATTTCAACAGAGAGGAGCAAAGAGGATAGAATGGAATGGAATGGAATGGAATGGAATGGAATAGATAGAATAGAAATAGAATAGAATAGAATAGAATAGAATAGAATAGAATAGAATAGAATAGAATTAGAATAGAATAGAATAGAATAGAATAGAATAGAATAGAATAGAATAACAGAGTTGGAAGGGACCTTGGAGGTCTTCTAATCCAACCCTGTGTTTAGGCAGGAAACCATACAAGAAGGCAGGAAGAGGACAATCACATAATACCTTTGAGACCTGCCAAAATATAGCCAGACAGCAGAACTCTAATGCTGATTTTAAATGTTGATTTTTCCCTCTAAAGAATAGGCATTAATTAATTAATTCATTAATTCATCTATCCATCCATTCATTCATTCATTCATTCATTCATTCATTCATTCAATCAATGGCACTGAAAGAAGAGACTTATGACCGTTTTTCACACTTACAACCATTGCAGCATCCCCATAGTCACATGATCAAAATTCAGCTGCTTGGCAACTGACTCATCTTTATGACGGTTGCAGTGTCCCAGGGTCATGTGATCCCCTTTTGCGACCGTCCGATGACCAAAGAGCCTTGATAGTACAGGGGTTTAGTGCACCCTGTAATTAACACAGCTGCCTGCAATTTCTGCTGGTTCGAATCTCTCCAAGGCTCAAGGTTGACTCAGCCTTCCATCCTTTCTAAGGTAGGTGAAATGAGGACCCAGTTTGTGGGGGCAATAAGCTGACTTTGTATAAAATATACAAAAGAATGAAGGCTATTGCTTAATGCATTGTAAGCCGCCCTGAGTCTCCGGAGAAGGGCGGCATATAAATCAAATTAAAAAAAAAAAAAAAAGTCAATGGGGAAGCCAGATCCACTAAACAGCAGTGTTGCTAACTTAACAACTGCAGCGATTCACTTAATAACCGGGGCAAGAAAGGTTGTAAAATGGGACAAGATACATCTAACAGATGTCTCACTTAACAACAGAAATTATGAGCTCAACTGGGGCCGCAAGTTGAGGACTACCTGTGGTAGAGTGGACTAGAGTGAGCATCTTGCAACTTTGAACTCCATATTGTCCCCTTGCAGACTTCTCTCCTAAGAAAATTTCATCCCCTCCAAATGTTGGCTCGTTTTGGAATTTTAGGATTGAATTTTGAGTTCTGCTCAGAACTGGCATCTATACATTTGTTAATACATACCCCTCCAAAACGTCCAGAATTAAAGCTGTTCTGAAACATAAAATGAAAACAACACAATTTGAAATTAAGAGCAATTTAAAGGTTCAATCTTATGACAATTAGCAGTTGTCCCACCATCTCCCTAATCTTACAAAAATACTTTTGCTTTGTTCCTTGAATAAAGTTACAGAAACACAACAGAATGAGAAAAAACATATTGTAATTTTAAAAATAAAACATAAGCAATTGGGTATTTGGGGCAAAATCTAGACCTTTTGTAGTTGATTGAGCCGATTAATACCATTTTATTATTTACATGACATATATTTCATCCCCCTCAGTTAAGCATACGCTGCAAATACATTTCTTCAGTCATTGACAAATGACTTTTTATTTGGTATCTTTGAGAAAAAAGGAATATGTTTCGCTTTTCGGATGACTCAAAAGGAAGGAAGTACATTTAAGAGTTTCTATACAGCTTTTTAAAATAGTTTTTAATCTCCTACTGAGGAATGAAGAAGACAAATTAGCTCCAAGGATACAGTTATTCTGGGTACTTATTTGTTAAATTTTAATTATTAAATTGTATACTTACTCCATTGTCATTGAAACTGCTGGATCCTACATTGTTGTTGTCAAAACTGTCTACACTCTGCAAAGGAAAATAAACAGAGCTAGTTGTTTTCTTTTTGCTAAAGGATTAGGAAAAGCACTAGAAAGATCCTGGTGTTTTGTGAATATCAGAGAATTTAACAAACTACAGGAGAGGAAGAAAGGACTGGAGGGGAGACCAGTGGAGTTGGTCAGAAGAGAAGGACTAGGAGAGACATGATAGCAGTGTTCCAATATTTGAGGGGCTGCCACAGAGAGGAGTGGGGCTCAAGCTATTTTCCAAGATACCCGAAGGCCAGACAAGGAATAATGGATGGAAACTGACCAAGGAGAGATTCAATCTAGAAATAAGGAGAAATTTTCAGACAGTGAGGACAATCAACCAATGGAACAGAAGTTGCCTTCGGAAGTTGTGGGAGCTTCATCACTGGAGGCTTTTAAGAAGAGATTGGACTGCCATTTGTCAGAGACGGTGTAGGGTTTCCTGCTTGGGTGAGAGGTTGGACTAGATAACCTGCAGTACAAGGTCTCTTCCAACTCTGTTAATCTGTTAAATCTGAGTTTACAGCCAGACTGGAAAACTAAACTAAAACAGAGTTCCTCGGGAGTTGGGCGGCATAGAAATGCGATAAAAATGAGATAAATTAAATTAAATTAAATTAAATTAAATTAAATTAAATTAAATTAAATTAAATTAAATTAAATTAAATTAATTAAATTAAATTAAATTAAATTAAATTAAATTAAATTAAATTAAATCAAATTAAATTAAATTAAATCCAATCCCAGAAGAAGGCCTGGTGGATCATTTCTGCATCACATATACTTTACTATATATTTCTCCTAATTGTATCTGAACGTGGTTCTTATGATCAACCTACCTTTTGCACGCTCAATTCCCCAAATGCATATGTGCAGTTCAGATACTCCTTTTCATGTATTTCAATGGAAAGTTACAATGGCAAACTTGGGGAAAGAAAGAATAGAAAGGAGGTGGACTCCAGGTATATGTTAAAAAATGGTGTGACTCAGGTTAATGTTCATTAAAACTCTAAGTGATGTTTGGTCATCACCTGTAAGTTAAGTGTCTGATTTGCATAAAGAGAGAAACTCATGATTTCTTGGCACTTCCAATAAAAAGGGTTTAAATATTAAAGAAAGGAGAATGAGCTCATCGGGAAAAAGGCTGCACAACTAAGTAAACAAACATCTCAACCATCACAAGGATGATTTGCGTCACACTTTGAAATTTTCCTGAGCATTATTTATTTATCAGAGGGATGCAGTGGCTTAGTGGCTAAGACACTGAGCTTGTTGATCAAAAAGTCGGCAGTTCAGTGGTTCAAATCCCTAGTGCCGTGTAACGGGGTGAGCTCCCGTTTACTTGTCCCAGCTTCTGCCAACCTAGCAGTTCGAAAGCACGTAAAAAATGCAAGTAGAAAAATAGGGACCACCTTTGGTGGGAAGGTAACAGCATTCTGTGTGCCTTTGGCTTTTAGTCATGCTGGCCACATGAGCATGGAGACGTCTTCGGACAGCGCTGGCTCTTTCAGCTTTGAAACGGAGATGAGCACCACCTCCTAGAGTCGGGAACGAATAGCACATATGTGCGAGGGGAACCTTTACCTTTACTTACTTATTTAAAATGCTTCTATGACTATCCAACTTAAAACCACAGCTCTGGGCACCTCATAACTATAATATAAAAGAAGGGAAGGGGAAAGGGGAAAGGGGAAAGGGGAAAGGGGAAAGGGGAAAGAAAAGGAAAGGAAAGGAAAGGAAGGAAAGGAAAGGAAAGGAAAGGAAAGGAAAGGAAAGGAAAGGAAAGGAAAGGAAAGGAAAGGAAAGGAAAGGAAAGGCCCAATGCATGATAGATGTGCTACTTAAATCCCTCCAGGACGTTGATCCTTCTTAGAGCAATTGATTATTTCTCTTATCTTTCCCAAACACATCAACAAACCTAGGAGGCTCAATGAGAATGCCATCTTGTGGCTCGCTTCTCTGGCTATTGAAATACTTGAAGTAGCTGCTGCAAATTCCCAGGAAAGAAACAATTGACTGATCACTCTTATGCTACAGACTCTTTAAAAACAGTAACACTCAGGGGAATCAATTGTGAATGCAGGAACCCCAGTTTTGGAATATTCCATGCTCGATCAATGAAGCTAGAGCTTCAAAGACTGGATTCATTTAAATGGGTGTCAAATACAGATTGCATAGAGATCCCATAGGAACCTTCTTTCACCCAAACCTCTCCTTACCCCAGGTCTAGCTGTGGTGCCTTCGAAAGTGAGCAGGCAGATGGCCAGGAAAAGAGCCACAACTTTGACTTGCATCTTGGTGTTGCTTCTGTCTCCCTTTCCCTCTGAAATAGGAATAGGGATAAGGCCACCTGAGGCCTCTACTTATACTGGAAGTTATCATGGGCAGCGGCCACTGATACGTTAAACTATCAATCCCTGTTATCATAAGCAAATTTGCTTCTGTCAGCCCAACCTGATTCATCCACAGAATGACCAAGCCCTTTCTTCCTTTCTTTTCCAACCATGGCCAAGATCCACAAATACTTTGTTCCTGAGAGCTGACCACGCATCCGTCTCCCCCTTCCTTCTTGACCCTGTATTTCTTCTCTACTCCCATTTTTAACCTCAGATGATCATGTGCTGAAATTTTTGCCTAAAGGAGTGAAATTATATTTTGTAAAGGGTGTCAAACTCAATTTCATTGAGGGCCTCATCAGGGTTGTGTTTGACCTTGGGTGGCCAGTGAGGCTGTGACCAGGATGGGTGTGACCAGCTCAATGTCACTCGTGTCGGGGGTGCCTGTGCCCCCAAGCACTCTGCCAGCGAAAATGGGCTCTCAAGCTCCGTTTTTGGCTGCCATGGCCTCCTGCAACCCTCTGCCAGTGAAAACAGAGCTTGGAGAGATGCCTGCGGCCATCGTGAGCTCCGTTTTCACTGGCAGAGGCACTGCAGGCCAGTCCTTTGCTGTTTCCAGGGCAGCCCGCACAGGGCAGATCTAAGCACCCTGTGGGCTGAATTTGGCCCCCGGGCCTTGAGTTTGACACTTCTGGTTTAGAAGGAAGTATGTCATATGTTGAAGGCCAGAAGAAGATGTCTACCAAGCTTGTACAAAATTGTGATCAGTTTTCTTTTATGTACACTGAGAGCATATGCACCAAAGACAAATTCCTTGTGTGTCCAATCACACTTGGCCAATAAAGAATTCTATTCTATTCTATTCTATTCTATTCTATTCTATTCTATTCTATTCTATTCTATTCTATTTCTATTTCTATTTCTATTTCTATTTCTATTTCTATTCTATTCATTTGGCTAATTCATCAAGTTTCATTTGGCTAATTCATCAAACAGTGTGACTCCAGATACTTTTTCTAGGAATGCTGTCCAAATACCAGCTTGTTATTATAAGTTAAAAGAATAGGCTTATTCTGAGAATTTCTGATTTTAACTCGACGGGGGCAAAATAATAAGAGCAAGGGAAAGAAAAGACATTTCTTTTTCCAAAATGTTTCTACCCGTCCCCTCCTCCTTCACAAATGTATTCCTGCGATTTCCTGGGGTTTTCCTGTTCAACCCCACATTAGTTTTTTGAAATAATTTAAATCTCGAGGGGATGTGGGGATGTGGTGGCGCAGTGGCTAAGATGCTGAGCTTGTCGATCGAAAGTTCGGCAGTTCAGCGGTTCAAATTCCTAGTGCCGCGTAACAGGGTGAGCTCCCGTTACTTGATCCAGCTTCTGCCAACCTAGCAGTTCAAAAGCATGTAAAAAATGCAAGTAGAAAAATAGGGACCACCTTTGGTAGGAAGGTAACAGCGTTCCGTAGCATAACTAAACAGCGTTGATATTTAGTTATGCTGGCCACATGACCACGGAGATGTCTTCGGACAGTGCTGCCTCTTCGGCTTTGAAACGGAGATGAGCACCGCCCCCTAGAGTCAGGAACGACTAGCACATATGTGCGAGGGGAACCTTTACTTTTGCCTTAAACCTCGAGGAAAGGAAACTACATTTTTCTATACCAATTGCTGTTCAGTTTAATTAATTAACCAGCAATATATGTCCTCTGTTACTAATCCCATAAGGGACCACACTGGGTGTATCACAACTTTGTAATCCTAGCAAATGTAAAATACCAAATGATAAGCATGCCCACCTTTTTTTACTTTAACAAGGGAGGAGGTTAAAGGCGATAAGAGGATATGGTCTGTTTGAGCTCTAACAACACCTAAAATAAGAATTCTGAAGAAGTAGATTTTAGAGCATATGACCGAAGAATTATCAGGCGATATCAACGTAGGCAGAACTAAGTATAAAGGACAAGTAAACCTGAAAAAGAATAAAAAAATCTGCAAAGTGCAGGAGGGGGAAAAAAATGAAATCTGCAACAGAAATTTTGACTCTCAATTGTGGTCAAGGACGACCTGTAGTTTTTGCTTTGTTGGTCTTGTCCAAGCTGATTTTTATTTAAAATGAATTGAATGCAGACTTAATGTTAAAAAGAATGTTTTATCATGGCTTGCAATAAAACAGTCCCAGTGATGGCTTAAACAAATTGCACATTAATTAAGCAAATAAAAAGGAAGTAAGAAGGTTATTTTGTCGTGTCAGATGACAACTAGCTATTGCAGCTAGTTGCAACTTACAACCAAAATTGGGATCAGAGTCTCCATTAGTAAGCAAGGCAGTTGATAAGTAAGTCATGCCCCCCCCGTCTTATGACCTTTTTTTTTGACATGGTTGTTAAGCAAATCATTGTAGTTGTTAAGTAAATCATGCGGTCATGAGCCAAGGTGGCGCAGTGGTTAGAGTGCAGTACTGCAGCTACTTCAGCTGACTGCTAGTTGACCAGATCAGCGGATCAAATCTCACCGGCTCAAAGGTTGACTCAGCCTTCCATCCTTCCGAGGTGGGTAAAATGAGGAATCAGATTGTTGGGGGCAATATGCTATTTAGTATACTGTCTTTGGTGTAAGCCGCCCAGAGTCCTCGGAGAGTGGGCGGCATAGAAATATGAATAATAAAATAAAATAATAAATAAAATAAGTCAATCTGGCTTCCCCCATTGACTTGGCTTGTCAGAAGGCGGATGAGAAAGCTGCAAATGACGATCACATGACCCTGCAACCATTGTAAATGCATGGCAGCTTCCAAGCATT